GGGAGTCCGCGGTGGGAGGCGGCGCCCGGGTGGCCCCGCGCACCATGGGGAACAAGCAGACCATCTTCACCGAGGAGCAGCTGGACAACTACCAGGTGAGCCCGCGCCCCTCCCCTCGGCTCCCCGTCGCGGCCGGCTCCCCGGGTCAAGCCCGGCCTCTGAGCGTGACCTTGGAAGGGCCTCCGAGCCTTACCCGGACCGCGAGCCTCCGTAAAGCAGAGCCGAGCCGGGGCCCGCTGGGTTGGGAGTCAGGTACATCAGCCCCCAAAGGCGGTTGTAGCTTGGGGTGTCTTGTTTATCCTGGGGTCTCTTTCTCTAGCCCAGCATGGAAATAATGGAGCAAGAAGGCCAGCCAGGTACCAGCCTTACATGGTCACCTCCCTGAGCCCCCTGCAGCCCCTTAGACCCTGCCAGGTCCCCTACCTCGGGAGCCAGGGAGCCCCACATAGGAGACCATAGGGCCCTCCCACCCATGTAAAACCTTTCAGTGCTTTAGATGACGCCTCCCCCTCCAGGTGATCTCTCACCCTCAAGGCCCCACTAGGGTGCCTCCTCCCCACTCCCTCAGGCTGAGGACCTGACTGGGTTGTCACCTTTGTGTAGTGCACTGTGGGGACATGACACCAGCAGGGTTTCCACAGCGGCCTTCGGACGCCGTCAGGAATATGCATTTTGGTGTCAGACTTGAAATGTGGGTCCTCTGCTGTGGACAGCCCTGGGCTCTCCTCCCCAGAGCCCTAGGTGTGCATAACAGATTTTCCAGCTCTGCATGAGGCCCTGACAGAGAATGGGGACCCACGTTCATGCAGCACCTGCTGCGTACCAGGCACTGTACTTCCTGTGCTTCCTGTCAACTCCTTTGATCACAGTCTGGTGGATTATTGGCCCCATTTTTTAGATGGATAAACAAAGGCTGAGAAGCTGCTCAGGACCCTGCCCAGTGGGAATCTGAATCACTAATCCAAGGCTCACTCCTTTTGCTGGGGATGGGGGGCTGTGCATGCTCTTCGTCCTCTGGAGAGACAGACCTCGCCAGTGTGGCCTCATGCTAGGAGGTGTGCACCAGGGGAGGGCACTAGTGGGAGTGGGAGACCAGTAGGGAAGGGGGTTTTTGCTTTGCTGGAAGTTTCAGAAATAATGCATCACTGGAGCAGGCCCAGCAGGGCCCACAGGAGGCGAGCCAGGTGGAGGGCACAGCTTGGGTAAATGCTTAGAGGTGGGCTCAGGGGAGCAGGTAGACCAGGCTGAGGAGTGAAGAGTAGCTCCGTGGGGACAGGGAGCCTGGGTTCCCACTCAGACCAGCCTGGCATTGGGTTACCCTTTGGAGCCAGTCCTTGTGTTGAGTTCTGATCCTTTGCCAGAGCCTGGCTAGACCCCGCAGACCAGTGGGGTGGGAGAAATGAGAGCTGTGAAACCTGAGAGCCTCACAGCCCTCTGACTCCAGCCGGCCACAGGCCAGCCGTGGGGTCTGTGGGTGACCCCAAGTTGTAGCCACCCCCTCCCCAAGTGAATCGCAGGGTTTCATTTCCCCTTCCCCAGGTGCCAGTGATCCAAGGTTCAGGTTACTTTGCAGACCACTTCTGTGCCTTCCAGATCTATCGCCCAGGCCCCTCAAACTCTAAAACATTGCTCGCTGCCTTCCCAGACCCCAGGCTGCTCCTTCAGCTGTTCAACTCTGCTGTCGGGCAGCCATGTGTTCAGTAAAGAACAAGTCCTGTAACTCAGCCTCCCCTGGGGATCCTTCCTCTGTCTTCACAGCCAGGGCCCTGGCCAGGCCTCTTCAGTCTCATCAGACTGAAGGACTAACCCCTCCTGCCTGCCCCCTCCAGCCACACACACCTTCTGCCACAATCCCTTAGTTTTCTTACCCCACCCCTTCCTTCCACCCCTTCCACCCCTCCTTTCTCGTTCTTTCAATAGACACAATAAGCATCACCACTCTCACAGCTTTTTCCATGGACAAAGAGTGGCAGTTTACTGAACCTTAGTTTTCCCATCTATAACTGGGGAGACAATGCCTGTCCCCGTAGGTTAGCGAGGAAGATTAAATCACATTGGATATTCAGAGCCCCCTCGGACCAGGCCCCTGGCAGTCACGGGCAATGTGGTGTGGTTTTCAGCTTGGGCTGCACCTAGCAAGCACCCAAGTGGCTTTGAAAATGGCTGATGCCCTTCTCCTGTCCAGATGCTGCCAGTTCCTCCCTGCCACCTTCTCCTACCACCACCACCACCCCTCAGCCTCTCCACTGCCTTCCCGATGTGATCTTGTCGATTCCTGTGGCTTCAGGTGCCAGGAAGGTGCTGAGCTTCAACAGTCTGTATGCCTGGTACTCTCAGTCTCTGAGCACAAGGCTACTGCCCCGCCACTCGGACACACACTGCACAGCTCCACAGGGTTCCCTTCTCAGGGACTGCCCTGTGGTGGTGGCCCTATCAGTCCTCATTCCTGGGCTGTCTCCCAGCCACTGACCCTCTGATCCCACAGGGTACCCATCTGGCTCCTCAGATCAGTGGCATCCATCTCTACTCCCTAAATGCTCATCCTCACAGTCCTTGCACCTGCACACAGTCCCCTGGGTCAGATCCAGAGCTTCAGGAGGTTTCTCGACCCACTGGACCGTTGTCCCCAGTGGGCTGGATGGTCCTGACTGTTCTGCCCCCAGCACTGTCCAGGGCTGTCCCTGTGGGGGTCTGAGGAAGGAAGAGCCAGGGCTGCACAACCAACTGTGTGTGTTTTCTCTACAGGACTGTACATTCTTCAATAAGAAAGACATCCTCAAGTAAGTGTGGCTTCTGGGACTTGGCGGGGCAGAGCCTGGCACCCCTCGTGGGCTGGCCGCACTAGCTGAGCCCAGGAAGAGCGTCGTCTCTGTCAAGAGCCAAGTGCAGGCTGTGGTGTGACCTCAAAAACCTCCCACATCCCTCTGCCAGGCTTTGAGCATCTCTTGACCATGTACTCCGCCCTGGGGTGGGTGGTCTCAGGCACACTTTCATTTAATCCTCACTGTTACCTTGTAGTGGGAGAATCCAGTTTTATCCCTAGTGTGGCCAGTGTCATACAGCCAAGCACTGAAAACCTGGCCTCTGACTCCAGGCCCCTTGCTAATTCCCTACATCCTGGAGCCTGTCCAAGTAGGTGTCCTGGTTGGTCAGACCATGGGTCCCTGAGGGCCCTCTGGCTCCGGTGCTGATGACCTCTGACTCCTGGGAGGTCTGAAAGCCAGTGGCACTGCCTGCAGTGCCCCACTGCCCTGAGCTGTTCACTAAGTGTCTCTTCCCTTCCTAGGACAACTCCTTTCTTTGGGCGTTGAAAGACAGGGCCTAGAACAGGAGAGATGAAGGGGGTGGCAGCCTCAGAGCCCCAGGACCAGACAGTAAGCAGGACACAGAGAATGCCAGGAAACCTGGCCCCTGCCTGAGCTATCAGGTGGCACTAAACGCAGCAAGGGCTCAGGATCACTTTCTCTGGAGGTCGACAGGCAGGCTGGGGCGAGAGCCTGTTACAGCTTCCCAAGAGGGCTGTGGTGGTCATTGCCCTGACCACTCCGCTCGGACAGGCAGTGTCCCTCGGTCTTCCTTCTCTGCACACACTGCTCTTCCTCCCTGTCCCCTTGGTGGGTAGAGACACCCCACTTCCACCACCTGAGAAGGCAGGGTGAGGGGCAAAGCCCCCCAGGCCTTGGCATCAGCAGACCTGGGCTCTGCTCCCACTTCCCAGGTCTGGGGCCTTGGCTGAGATCTGACCCTCAGGTTCCTCTATAAAACAGGGATCGTGACCCCACCCTCGGCATTGCCGAGAGGCAGAAACTCGAGGGTATGGGGTTTGATAAATGGGCCCCAGACCCAGGGCCCTGCTCCCAAGGTCCTCTCAGTGCTGCCACTCCCTCCCACCTCCCTCTAGCAAGCAGCCCTGGGTCTTTGCCTCTACCCCCACCCAGATGGGTTTCTGAGCTGCACCCTGAGCACTGACCAGATGGCAAGGAGGAAAGGTGAGCTGTAGGTTCTTCTTTGCAGCCTGGGGCCCAGCTCAATGATACTGAGTCAGACTCACTGATAACCATCGGAACGTCTTCCCTCCACCCCCACCCTGGGATCTCGTTGCTCCCTGGGGCACAGCCCTTCCACCCCCACGCTGACCCCGAGTGGGCAGCCCCCAATGAAGCCACCTTTGTTCCTATAGGTAAGAGCTCAGCTCCCCAACTCTCCAGCTCCCAGTTAGTGGGCACACACAAGCCCACTCAGCAAGCAGCCCTGGGTCTTTGCCTATATGCTACCTTATTGTCTCTTATTTTTTTCAACCTTTTAAAAACTTTGTATCATCTATTTTAATTACTCCTAATTTTTTTGTTCCACACGGGATACATAACCATAGAAAAATTAGAAAATAAAGCCAGTCAAGAGACAAAAAAATGACCTCTAATTCCCCCCACCCCCGAAAGAACGACTATTAACTTTCCTGTATATTGAACCCTTTGGTACATAGCCTGTTAGTATATTCCCTTCGTGCGTATTTATCAAAAATTTGGATCATGTTGTTTTGTCATTTCTTTAAAATTGCTTTTCCTTAGGCAAATGGTAAAAATAGATATGGGAAAATGGTCTCACCACCTCCTTAATTCACTTAGCAGGACATTTCAGTGTTCCACCGTGATATTAGCACTGGGGTGAGTATCCTCGTGACACCGTGACATACAACCCACACCTCTGGGGTTAGATCTTGGCGTAAATTTCTAACAGAGACTTCTGGATCCGAAGGGATAGACTTTTAAAGCTTTTGATTTTTCTTTTTGTGCTAAATCACCGCCCAGAGGTGTTGGAACAGCCTGCGGCCCGGCAGCCGTGTGCAGGCAGGTGCACAGGCCTGGGGGCCGGGGTCGTGCCCCCTGCAGCGCTCCCTCTGCTCCCCTCGCAGGCTCCACGCGCGGTTCTATGAGCTGGCCCCAAACCTTGTCCCCATGGACTACAGGAAGAGCCCCATCGTCCACGTGCCCATGAGCCTCATCATCCAGATGCCGGAGCTCCGGGTAGGTGAGAGGCCCCTGCTTCTGGCAGAGCAGGAGAAGCATCTGGGGACAGGTGGGGCAGGTGGGCTGGAGGGACAGGGAGCCTGCCCCTCTGGATGGGGCAGGGCTGCAGAGGCTCGACTCTTCACCTCTCTGTGCCTCAGTTTCCTTAACTATGAATAAACAGGCTACATGCGGGGCTCTGGAAGGCTGCTGTGACCTGTGCTGCCCACAGTCTGCACGCCTCTTGGCCTGTGCTCACCACACTAGCCCCTCTTTTTTTAAAAATCCTCACCTGAGGATATTTTTTTCAGTGCTTTTCAGAGAGAGTCAAAAGAGGAGAGAGAGAGAGAGAAAGGCATCGATGTGAGAGAGACACATCGAGTGGCTGCCTCCTGCACGTGCCCCAGCTGGAGCTGGGGATCAAGCCTGCAACCAAGGTACATGCCCTTGGCCAGAATTGAACTTGGGGCCGCTGGCGATGCTCTAACCACGGAGCCAAACCAGCCAGGGCCCCGCTTTCCCTTTGTTAAAAGGCCAGTCTGCTGTCCTTCGCAGCCCTTCTATCTGTTTTTAGATCATTTCTCTCCCCCGCCTTACCTGGCTGTGGCCTCTCACAGCATGGTTGCCTGTAGCATCACTTCTGGACTTTTAACTTGCATGGAATCACCTGGGGATCGTGTGAAAAGGCTGGCTCAGGGCTCAGGAGGTATGGGGGAACCAAGGTTGTGTTTTTCTAACAAGCTCCCAGGTAGGGCTGATGCCTCTGGTCCTCAGACCACGTCTATATTTGACATAAAGGTTTCAGCCATGAGTTCCTCACCCGTAGTACACACAAAGTGCCCTCCGCCAGTGAGAAAGCTTCTGGGGCACAACTGTTGCTGTGGGACTTTGCAGACAGCTCCTCTCCAGGCCTCGGACATGTGAGTTTGGGGTTGCTGCTTGGTATCCACTTCGGGCCTGTGTCCCTGTCGTGACCTCAGTCCTCAGGGACAGTGAGGCCAGTCTCGGCCCTGGGCAGTCAACTAGCCTGGCCTGGACAGGGATTGAGCCCAGGGTCAGGGTCACTGGAGTGTGTAGGGCACTGGGGCAGGAACCATGGGGTTGTCCCTGAGCCTCCAGGAGGGGTGGCCCTGAGTGACCCAGGATTAGAGGAAGGAGATGGCGGTGGCCTCTGGACTGGTCTAGGAGTTTCAGGAGCTGGATGATTGCTGCTCTGGGGGCTGACAGGCTGACTCCTGCTGCTTGTCCTGTCCAGTTATCTGGTTCTCTGTGGCCCCACTTCTGCCTCCCACTGTGCTGGCCTGACACAGCCTGAGCGGACGGCTGCCCACGCTTGGCGATGTTGCCCCCTCCCCCCATCAAGGCAGGAGGCTGCCTCTGTGCGCTCCCCTGGGCACCGGGACTGATCCCTGCTCCTGCCTCACTGGAGCTCATACTCCAGGGAGCGCACCTTGGCTCTGCTAAGCTCCCTGTGCTCATCTGAAAGCAACGTAATGAGCTCGTACAGGTGCTGGCCTGGTGCACCTTCCACACTCTAACTCATTCCGTTCTCTCACAGCCCAGTTAAGTGGGTGATGGAGAAACTGAGGCCCTGGGGCATTAGGTTGCTTGTCCAGGGTCCCATAGGCTGTAAGCTGTCAGGCCCTGGAGTCCTCCCGGTTAACCTGCCCCTAGGTGACTGCTGTGGTCCTCTCTCCAGGAGAATCCCTTCAAGGAAAGGATTGTGGAGTCTTTCTCTGAGGATGGCGAGGGGAACCTCACCTTCGATGACTTTGTGGACATGTTCTCTGTGCTCTGCGAGTCGGCTCCCCGGGACCTCAAGGCCAACTATGCCTTCAAGATCTACGGTAACGAGGACCTGGGGAGGAGGCGTGATGCGGGGGTGCGTGCATTGGGCCACCCAGTTTCTGCTGCTCTCGCCCTGGGGGATGCTGGGGACACCGAGAACACTTAGAAGAATGCCTGTTCAGCAGGGTGGCTAGTGCATGAGAGACGTCATAGGGTCCTAAGAGCAGAGGAGAGACCCACCCCACCTAGGTGGGTGAGGAGAGTTCCCATGTAGTGACATTTCAGTGGTGCCCGGGAGGACAAGAGGAGACCATGGACAGGAGAAGTGGTGAGCACTGGGCAGAGGGAGCAGCCTGTGAGGACTCAGGACGCAGAACGTGCAGGGCCCTGCAAGGAGGTGCGACAGGGTGGGAGAGGCTGTTAGCAGGCTGTGGGGAGCCAGCTGAGGAGTTTGGACCTTGTGCCCAGGCCACCAGGACCACTGCAGGCCTTCGGGGGGGGCAGGACAGCTCTGTGTTCTAGAAGGGTCTTGCAGCATCCTGGCGGTATTAGCTGAGGCCTGGGCTGGAGAGGAGGCCTGGGCTAGGTGGTGAGGCTCCCAGAGGTGCGGCCAGCCCAGCCCCCTAGTTGCTGCCCCACCAGCCACCAGAGGGCGCCGGACACCACAGAACCTAGGTTCTTCTACAACCCTGGGACACAGGGAGGCCCAGGGAGGGGCTAAGAGCCACCGACAGACCGCCTGTCCCCAGCAACTTAGATCAGCCAGGCACCAGGGCCCCTCAAACATGCGGTTGTCATGTTTATTTCAGAGGACTAGGGTCTAGAAGTATCTGTACACCCACCGCGTTTGCACATCAGCGACAGAACCCGCACTGCCTACCAACTATGGTCGCTGGTTCATAAAAAGCTTCTTGAATTCCACCTGCCACCCCTCTAGTCCTGAACTCCATGGCATTGCTTCTGGGAAGGGCTGTTGTCTGCAGAGAGGGGGTCACGTGCATGATGGGAGGACCCAGGCCCCCTTGCTCGCCTGGACTGGGGTGGACTTGGGGAGGTGGGGGTCTGACCTCTAGCAAGGATCACCCCTTCCTGGACCCCAGTCTCCCCATATAAAACGGACATAGGAGTCCCCATCTCCCCAGGCCGTCATCTCTTCCAAGTGTACTGGGCGCCCCTCCCACAGGCGAGTGCAGAGATGGGCAGGGTGGGCACCTGTCTGAGATACAGCACTGACCAGGGACATGACCTCAGGCAGGTCACTTGTCCTTTCCAAGCCTCTATTTCTTCATCTGTGCAGCGGCGTTCTTGTTGTACCTACTGAACAGATATTTTTTGAAAATTAGGTGAGCTAGAGCCTGCAATGCTCACGTGAGCAGTTATACCCTTTGTCACCACCACAGTGTCAGGGTCTGACCAGCGGGAGGGGGAGCTCCGAGGGCAGAGCCCTTATGTCTAGGAAGCACCCCCCCACCAGGAGGTGATCTTTGAGCCAGAACTTGAAGGCTAAATAGGAGTCTGCTGGACTGATGCACAGGAAGGGCCCTCTAGGCAGAAGCGTCCTGTGTGAAGATCTGCTCCTTGGGTGGGAAAACTGCCAGAAGGGTGTTAAGGTCGCTGTGCCATGCCTGTGCTTGGGGCCTGTTGCCAAGTAGAATCAAGCCACATCCCCCAGTCTGTGTGCACACAGGCCAGCCATGGGCTCCCTCTAATGGGCGCCTGCGTCTCCTGACCAGTGAGTTGTGGCTGGAGGCCAGAGGCAATGGGTGCAGTTGAGAAAATGCGGTCTTAGCGTCACAGAGGCCGGGTCAGAATCCTCCCAGTAGCCCTCTGACCTTGATTCAGTCACTCAGCCTCTCTGGGCCTTGAATTCCTTAGCTTTAGAAGGACCGTGGGGTCACTGAGGACCAAGGTTCCCAGGAAGCCTCAGGGGCGGGTGTTTGAAGTGTCTCGGTCATTGTGGGCCTCTGTGGGGCTGCGAGTGTTGCATGGGGTGTACAGAGCTGCGTGTGGGCGAGCCCCTTGATCCCTCCCTGTTGGGGACAAGAATCCAGTGTCCCCAGAGTGTGTGTGGAGAGGCCGGTAGAGGTACACGGTGCGACCAGCCCTGGTCTGAGCGTCCCCGGGCCCCCCCCAGACTTCAACACCGACAACTTCATCTGCAAGGAGGACCTGGAGATGACGCTGGCCCGGCTCACCAAGTCGGAGCTCGAGGAGGACGAGGTGGTGCTGGTGTGTGACAAGGTCATCGAGGAGGCCGACCTGGATGGCGACGGCAAGCTGGGCTTCTCCGACTTCGAGGACATGATCGCCAAGGCCCCCGACTTCCTCAGGTGCTGCCCGGGCCTGACTGGGGTGGGCAGGCTCGGGGTGGGGCCCACAGCCAGCGGCCTGGCCTCCTGGGACCCCACGGGGGCCCAGGCCCTGTCACTGCTCGTAACATAACGACAGTGGTGTCTTGCAGGCCCATTCGGCCGGGAGGCACGAGGTCACATCCCAGCCCGGCTCCCTCAGTGTGTGACTGGGAAGTCCCCTGTCCCCTGCAGGGCCAGCTCTCAGATGAGGGATAAAGTCCTGGGGGCCTTTGGTGACATTGGGGGTGGACCCCAGGGCACAGCCAACCTTCCAAGCCACCCCTCCCTCAGCGGTGATTAACAGCCTGCTCCCTGAGGAGCTGGGGGGGGCTGGGCGGGGCCGGGCGGGGCCTGGTCAAACTTCTGGCTGCGGAGCCCTTACCCCCCCAGTTGTCTCACCCTCTCCTGCCCGTCCTCTCTTTCCAGCACCTTCCACGTCCGGATCTGAGGACACGGCCGGGGTCTCGGGCCCTGAAGCCCACCATCCACCTCTGCTGTCTACACAGTTTTGCCCTCCAAGCTTCCAGGACAGGAGCTGTGGCCGCCCGGGTTTACACCCGCGAACATTTCCTTGGCCCTTTCAGCAAAAAATCCTTAACCAGGGAAGGAGGGGACTTGAGGAGCAGGGCCCTTCCCAGGCCCCCTGTGGCTCAGCCCCAGGACCCACAGCCCCTCACAGACCTTCCCTCTGTCCCCTGACCTCCCCTGTACCCGGTCCTCTCCCAATCAGAAATGCCCCCTGGGAGGGGAAGGGTACTGACTTGTCCAAGTGCCGGAGACACACCCTGGTCGCCCAGGGGCAAAGGGAGCAAAAGAGGACAAGATTTAATGAACTATGCACCCTGCCTCCAGCCCCCAGCTGTGCTGCAGCCCCCCCACCTGTCCCCG